CTGGACTCCCATGTAGTCAACCATGGTTCGAGTTCTGGACTCGGTGGCCTAAACTAACGCCGGATGCATGTGTGTGCATGCCCAAGATCCTGAGAGGAGAATGGAGGAGAAGGGATTGCAGTGTGGCCATCCCCCCCGCCCCCCGGGGGATGATTTCTTGCTTTCTGTCTCTCTGTCTCGCTCTGTCTTTCTGGCGAGCGCACGTGCCTTATAGCAAAAACTTCTCCAAAATAATAATAATAATGATAATAAATAATAATAATCTGAAAAAAATGATGAAAAGCTATTTGATGATGTGAATAGTAATGTCTTTGTCTTGACCGATATACATGGTAATCATGCTGGAATAAGAAATGTAATATGCTGTAAAAAATATATGTGATTCAATGTAATATAAAAAAGTTTATGATAATTAATAAAATTAAATTAAAATAAATAGGGAATAAAAATACATGTACATATATATTAAACAAGAAATGGAAAATTATTTATTGATGATAACATGTATGATTAAGCCACTATACAGTGTATTCTGGATGGGAAATCGCATCCTGTATGCTGTGGTAATGTTCCATGAATGAATGTAAAATAAGTAAATTTTAGAAAAAAGAAATTTCCTCTGTGGGCCAGCAGATGATATGGTGGTTGGGGTGCTGGACTCCCACATGGCCAACTGTTGTTCAAGTCCTAGACTTGGGGTCTTACTTTCTCATTTTCCCTCTTTCTCAGTCTCTCTCTGGTCAAATTAAAAAATAATAATAATAAATTAAATAATTATTTAAATAAACAAATAAATAAATTTATCAGGACTCAATCACTAGAGCCCCACCCTGGTAACCTTATCCAATCCTAATCACCATTCAAAAGGTCTGCCTCTTAATTGCATAGTTAGATTAAATTCACTCCCTCTCTTATTTAAAATTTTTTTTCTTTACTCGTGCTAGAGTTGGTGCATGCACAGATGAAAGTAAGAGAGAGAGAGGAACATTGTCCACAGGGTCTGGTCTCACCACAGTCCCCTCCTCTAATCCTCTAACCCACTGGATCTAGGGCCCTCACGTGTATGCCCAGTGTTTCAGGCTGAGCAGGCTGGAGATTTGAACCGGGATCACCTATGGGATCCAGCTTCTCCCAGGCAGTGCATTACCACCGCATCATGCAACTGGTCCAAGTTCTCGATCTCTTAATAACTTCACAATGGCGCACCAAATTTAACACATGAATTTTGGAGCGATACAGTCAGACCATATCAGTATATTTTATATAACATAAACCTGTTTTGGGAAACGTATGTATTTTATGATTCCATGAACAGAAAAAAGCTTGGAAGGATATATTTCAAAAGGTTAATAGAACTTTTCTGTAAATGATGGGTATTACTTTTTCCTTTATCCTTTTAGTATTGCTTAAGTATTTGCAAAAGATATTTTACTTTCTTAAACAGAAAAAAATCAGTTATTTCCACTTAGAAAAAAAAAACACTAAGTTTTCTTTGAGTTGAATAGTTTTTTTTTATTTCTTCAGATTCAGAGTTCTTATGTTTGGCGATACCAAATGGTAGTAAGTTATCGTGTGGATTTTTCTCTCTCTGGATAATCCATGTCACATACAGATTTTTTTCTTCTCTGATGCCCAGAATCCTTTGTCTGCTTTTCTGAATGGACCTGATTAGAAATTGTCAGCAGCTGAGAAAGGATAGGAAAAAGACATGTATATATTTTGAAAGAGAGATTTTCTTTCCTCTTTTCGATTATCCCTCCTTCTATCAGGAAAAGCCTAAGATTACACTTACTCTTTCATTTTTCTGCAGGAGAAGTGAAGTGTGAGCCACCCAATAACAAGTTGGACAAATTTGCAGGAATACTGTTCTATAAGGGGAAAAGCTACTCCCTGGACCATGACAAGCTACTACTCCGAGGCTGCATCATCAGGAACACAGATTGGTGCTATGGCTTGGTGATTTATACTGGTATGTTTCTCTGGAGCCACGGTTCGTTCCCCAGCCTGCTGGATCCCATAGATGGCCAAGTTGTAGGTACCTAGTTTTCAGGATGTAGATGTGGCACTCAGATATATATCCGAACACTGTGATTTTGAGGTAGAAACAGGTGGGAGATCTAGAGAATACTTATTGCTAAGAAAAAAAAATAGTTTCTTTTCCCAAGTAATGATCTTTCAACATGTCAACTCTGCCATTTTTATAGGAAGGCTTTTATTCTGAGACCACAGAACATCCGCAAGTCTTTCCCATCATAACTGGATACAGGAGAGAGCATACATAGAGAGGAAGCACAAGAGAATTACCATGTGATAGGAGTATATATATGTGTATTACTCCCATGAAGAGAGAATAGCTATGATGCTTATTAAGGGGGAAGGATATAAAATATAATGTGAAGAGTTCATGCCAGACAAAAGGCACATATGGACGACTAGCAGCAGCCCCTCCTAAAATGTCATTTACAGCCACAATTCTCTGTACTTACTGAGGGGTTTTCGTGGGTTATGATGTGATTTAGGAAAATGGAGGAAGCCTCTGTGCTACCAATGCCCATGGTGACAATGAGTATTGATGACAACAACCATAATAGGAAGCATCAAGAAAGATTTACCACAGTGAAACTACTCAAGTCAGATTCCCAGAGCTGCCCTTCCAGAAAACCTACTCCAAGACGAGGGGGTCCTTGACTCCTTACCTCTATGGAAAATAATGAGACCCCATACTGTGGGAAGAAGCTTAAAAGTCCAAGGAGGCCCTAGTGGAACTTCCTTTGGTTCTTGACTGATAATGGCAGCTTTTGGGCTACCTAGTTCCCAGACTCCAAACATTTAAAATAGAGTTACTTTCTTCACTATATATACTTCAGTGGCTTCTGACACAATTGCCACTCATAAAAAACTCATTTTCAGCTTAAGTTTTTTGTTGCTGTTTTTTTTTCTTTTTTCTTTTTCTTTTTCCCTGAAGCAGTAGCAGTGAGGTTGCCAACCAGCACAAATTATTATTTCCCTCTGACTTTTGATTGGCTTACACAGTAGTGTTTAGCTTTGGGAAGCTCCAAGCAGAGGAGAACTGATGCCTCCCAAGAGCATCATGGAGTATTCAGTGCAGAATCAAGTTGCTGTTTCTCTTACATCATGCCCTAAGTCAGCCATGATTTTCACCTTCTTCTTGAAACCTAGGGTAGGATCAGTGTGGCTAAGGATCCTGGGAAGATACTGTCCCTGTAACTTCTAGGCTCTGGGCCAAGCTTCTCATGCCTTTAAACCCTTTAAGAAATGCTTCAGAGGAATTGTTATGCCATGGAATCAAGGAATGCTTATATCATGCATTCCCAGTATCTGTCCACATATCAAGGAAATTCCAGCCTCCCTATGTAAAAACACCAGTGAAATTCTTTCTTTAGAGCAATGTAAGAATAACATTCAGATGGTGACCTCACTTGCCGCGGACCCAGTGGTTCTCCAAGCACCCGGTATCCTGGGAGATCCACTTCTCACCGACCTCTCACCAACAGAGCAGACATGGGCAGGGCGATGGTAGCCAGGCTGGGGTTGGGGCTGCTGCAGCTGACACGGCTCCTACCCACACAAATTTATTCAAATCAAACAACCGTCATAACACTTCCCAATAATTCCTCCCAGAATACCTCAGCTGCCCCAAATCCAGCTAATGCCACCACTAAGGCCCTTGGCAGTGCCCTGCAGTCAATAGCCAGTCTCCTTGTGATCTCGCTTTCTCTTCTACATCTCTACCATTAAGAGACTCAGGCCAGGGACCAGCAGTTGGCGTAATGGCTATGTCGCTGGACTCTCATGTAATCAACCACAGTTCAAGTCCTGGACCCAGTGGCCTGAACTCACACCGGGTGCGTGTGCATGCGTGTCCAAGATCCTGAGAGGAGAATGGACATCCCCCCTGAGGGGTGATTTCTCACTTTCTGTCTCTCTGTCTTTCTGGCAAGCACACATGCCCTATAGCACAAAATCCTCCCCGCCCCCCCCCCCCAAAAAAGATAGAGACTCAGACCAAGAAATATCTACACTTCCCCATCTTCTAAAATCAATCTAGATGGCTTCTAGAAGTCCAGTGTAGCAAGGAAAATTTAAAAAAAAAATAAAATAAAAAGATCTTCATTGAATCTACTAATTCCACATCTTATTTTATCAACACAAAAAATGTTATGAATCCAAAATCTGATTGGTTGAAGAACATGTGAAGGACTTGAGCAGATAATAAATGCCAAGATTAAACCTGCTGGAGTTTCATGTACCAGATGAAGAGACAACACTCAAAATTAGTTAAAAGGGACCAGCAGTTAGTGTAATGGCTATGTCGCTGGACTCCCATGTAGTTGACCATGGTTCATGTCCCGGACCCGGTGGCTTAAAACTCAGGCCGGGCACGTGTGTGTGCGTGCCCAAGATCCCGAGAGGAGAATGGAGGAGAAGGGATTGCGGCATGGCCATCCCCCCTGGGGGGTGATTTCTCGCTTTCTGTCTCTATGTCTCTCTCTGTCTGTCTGGGGAGCGCATGCACCCTATAGCAAAAACCTATCAAAAAAAAATTAGTTAAGACATGGTTTCCTTGAATTTGGCTTAAGAAATATGGACATGTAAAACTCTACCTTGAAATTAAGAATAGATTTTATCTTATCTAGAGATAAAGAATGGATGTAGAATGGAGATTCAGTTTTTGTTTGGTTCATTAAATCCATAAGGCCATAAAACAATTAGGTAATGTAAAAAGTTTCCATGATTCTATTCATATGTACAATAAAACTATAAATCCTCAGCATATCGTTTCAGCAGTACTAATTTAATGCCGATATACTCTAGATAAAATTTCACGTTGTAAAGCTATCACTGTTTTCTGGGGAACTGAACTCTTTTCCTCTGAGGCTTTGGGTTGGACATTGCATTTGATCTTTTAGGTAGTAATTGAGATGTGCTAGGGCAATGATGGATTGAAATCCACCCCCAAACCCAAGCATATTGGATGAATATTGCTTAACCTTATCAAATAAAATGGTAGACATTTTCTATCACCTGTTTTTATTGGACAAGAGCACCAGGTTCATTTATTTAAACTATTTCTTTAGTTAAACTCTTTCAAGAGTAGAATTGCATTGACCTCAACTAATTTAAAAATGCTGCTTTTTATTTCTGCATATGTTGAATTTCTGTACATTTTACATTAAAAAATTATCTGTTTTGAAGGTAGAATTACAAATCTTGACATTAAAAAGGTGAATGTGTGAAGGAGCCAAAACTGTAAATCAGGTGTTTGGGAAGTGAAGAATGCAAGCTAACTCATAAATTCACAGAAACTTTTATACTCTTTCTGTAAATACTTTTTTTTAACTTATGGATCAGAATAGCCACATTTGGAACACTTTCTGTTATCAGTCAATATTTTTAGATAGTGAGGACCTCAAGTGAGCTTGATTCTGAAAATCTTCTTCCGAAAGCCTCGACACAGAAACCTTTTTAAAAATACACACCCCTGAAGCATTTTGTTCACATGGTCACACACGGATGCTTAGGTTCTGTTCCAGTATCTAATATGGCCACAAAGTCATTTCCCCTTACCTTTAGAAACGTACATGAGTGGGAATCAGCAGTTAGCGTAATGGCTATGTCACTGGACTCCCATGTAGTCAACCGCGGTTCGCGTCCCAGACCCGGTGGCTTAACCCAGACCCGGTGGCTTAACCCAGACCCGGTGGCTTAAAACTCACGCCGGGTGCATGTGCGTGCATGCCCAAGATCCCGAGAGGAGAATGGAGGAGAAGGGATTGCGGCATGACTATTCCCCCTGGGGGTTGATTTCTCGCTTTCTGTCTCTATGTCTCTCTCTGTCTGGCTGGCAAGCGCACACACCCTATAGCGAAAACCTCTCCAAAAAAGAAAAAAAAAAAAAAGAAACGTACATGAGAAGAACCAGACTGAACAGATCTGAAGCTACTGTGTGTGTGAATGAACACTCCCCTTTGCTTCATACCTGAATGCAAATATACACCTATTTTGGATTGTATATTGTGTTCATGTACTTATGCTTTGATTCTTAGTAACTTCTTACGTTATGGAATTTATTTGCATTGAACACAAACTAAGTCAAGAGAAATGAACAGCCAAAAGAGCAAAATAAAATAAAGTAAAATAAGTCAGATGGCAAAGGCCAGATAAATCATCAGAGTTTCTTCTAAACCTCTTTTTTTTTTTGAGAGGTTTTTGCTATAGGGCGTGTGTGCTCGCCAGACAGACAGAGAGAGACATAGAGACAGAAAGTGAGAAATCACCCCCCGGGGGGATAGACACGCCGCAGTCCCTTCTCCTCCATTGTCCTCTCGGGAACTTGGGCACACACACACACGCACCCGGCATGAGTTTAAGCCACCAGGTCCAGGACTCGAACTGCGGTCAACTACATGGGAGTCCAGCGACATAGCCATTACGCTAACTGCTGGTCCCCTAAACCTCTTATTCTCTGCAGCCATCTGTGAATAGTAGTTTCCAGCTCTAGTGCCAGTGGCTGGGAAAGCCCTTCTATTTACTTTTCACTCTCTCGTAAAGAAACAGAGTCTCTTTCTCTCAGCCCAGAGAAGTCTCAGCTCTGTCACTTCTACTTCAGAAAAAGATCACTGCTATTGCCTTTTCTTTCAGGCCAGTCCCAGTTAGAAACTTTAAATGTAAAAAAAAAAAGAAAGAAAGAAAGAAACTTTAAATGTAGCCCAACCCAGCAGTGGGGTGCTTAAAGTGGAGCTCTCTTCATCAGAAAATATCTTCTCTCAGTTAAATAAACCCGATGGTGATAAGAGAGAAACGTGTAACTTCTTTTCTGGCTCAACTCACCCATTAAAGTCAAGACTGTCTGAAGTGTTGCAAGACTCAGCAGAGATGCACCCACAGGAGTAGTCGGGACTACCTTAGAAAATTTTCATTCTTTGACTTATTGGCAACAATTGTGAGCCTTTTTCCAGGACTTTATCCCCTGGAATTGAATAAAAGGTTAGATTAAATGATCATAAAGACACGTTTTAAGGAAATTCCAAGTTTTTTAGTATATTCAGTGATTCTAAGATCTGATATCTCTCTGTTTTGCTTAGGGCAAGACACCAAACTAATGCAGAACAGTGGAAAGTACACTTTTAAACGGACACAGATAGACCACCTCATGAATGTCCTTGTGCTCTGGGTAAGTTCAAGGTTTTTGTTCTCTCTCTCTTTACAAATAGACATATTTCCTTTCCTCCATGGAGGTACCTTATATTTCCCACTTGGAATTTAGTGTTTCAAAATCTCACGTAGTGTTAGGACCCCACAGATTTAGGTTTGAGGACGAAAGGAACAGAGCCAGTTCTAGACTCACAGGGGAGTCTAGTTTATACCTCTGATATTGACAGTGGCCATAATTTAAGAAGATATTATGCTTTGATTGGTGCTACCAGAAAGGATCAAGGATTCTACTATAGGAATTAGGACATCATTTTAAGTTTATTTTTTCCTTTTGTGAGATTGAGAGACAGAGAGGGAGAGAGAGAGAGAGAGAGAAAGACAATACTCAACAAGGTCTCATGCCACAGTCCCCTCTCCCAGCCTTCCCAACCAGCCAGGATCATGCCAGTGCCAGCCTGGTGAATGCAGTCAGCTGGGAAACCTGAGCTGCAGTCTTCCGCATGGATCCAGCACCCCTAGAGCAGTGTGTTACTCCTGCACTTCCTGTCTGACCCAGTACTCCTTTTTATTTTCTCATAATCAGTTTTATTCACAACCATCTTAATGTTTTTTTTCTGTTTTTTTCTGTTTTTTCTTTTTTCTTTTTTTTTGAGAGGTTTTCGCTATAGAGCACGTGCGCTCGCCAGACAGACAGTGAGAGACAGAGAGATAGAAAGCGAGAAATCACCCCCCAGGGGTGATGGCCATGCCGCAATCTCTTCTCCTCCATTCTCCTCTCGGGATCTTGGGCACGCACGCACACGCGCCCAGCGTGAGTTTTAAGCTACCGGGTCCAGGACGCGAACCGCGGTCGACTACGTGGGAGTCCAGCGACATAGCCATTATGCTAACTGCTGGTTCCCTTAATGTTTTTTTTTTAAAACTTAGATTAATAGAACACCTCATCTAAACTGAAAATTTAAAAATTCTGTTTCCTTACAAAGCCTTAAGGCTTGCTGCAGTGGGAAGAGGGAAATCGAATGGGATTTGTTCTCAATATGAAGTTCCTGCTTCAAAAACGAGCAGCTTCACATTATCTATTTTATTATTTTAGTTGGAAAAATAGAGGTTTCTTCTACTAAGACAAGAAATTTGAAAAGCACCGTAATATATACTAACCAGTTTTCATAATAATAGTCTACACTGAAGACACATTATTTCCATGCTAGCTGGCACGGGTTGCCTTTATTCTTCTTGGGAATAGACAGAGTAATTTCTTCACTTCACTTATTTTCATAACCGAGCAGTTCTAGTGATGATTGCAGGTAACTTCACTACTTTTCATTTTTTAACTTTATTCTGTTTATTAGAAAATTCAAAAATGCCTTTTCTCTCTACATATTTCTCAATGATATCTGAATTATAAACTGTCTTTTGTCCTTTAGTTTCTATGGGAAACCACATCTTGTAAAAAATTATTTGGATTTAGTAAATGAGGTTTTAGAAAATTAGGAAGGTTCATTCAGCTTTGAGACTAGAAACTAGCATCTACTATTATATTTTTCTCTTTCTATAGTTAAATACATAACTTTCAGCGATTGAACAAAATTCAATTTCCTGATTTCTTATGAGGAAGGCCATCACAGTCAACAATCCAGGAAGTGGCATAAGCAGATATGCTTTTGACAATATAAGAAATATATATCACTAGGCAGTATTCTGGGTTATTTAGCCTAGGCTTTTTTTTTTTTTCCTGGAGAGATTTTTGCCATTGGGCGCGTGCACTCGCCAGACAGACAGAGAGAGACAGAGAAACAGAAAGCGAGAAATCACCCCCCAGGGAGGATGGCCACGCCACAATCCCTTCTCCTCCATTCTCCTCTTGGGATCTTGGGCACGCATGTACACCACGTGAGTTTAAGCCACCGGGTCCGAGACGCGAACTGTGGTTGACTACGTGGGAGTCCAGCGACATAGCTATTACGCTAACTGCTGGTCCCGCCTAGGCTTGTTTTCAAAACAGTATGTCTCCCATCTGTCCAGGAAGGCTCAACTATTTTATACCTTCTGAAGGACAGGGATAACACTTGACATCTGTCGAGGGATTTTAACTTTTTAGTATATTTTCATGTCATTAATTACAGCCTCACTATATCCATGAGAAATAAGCAAGTCAAGAAGTACTTTCCTCATTTGACAAAAATGTAAAGTACAGTGATGATGCATATCATAAAATCCCAGAGAAAAATAATGGCAAAAACAGGCCTACAACTCATCAAGTCATATTTATTGAGAATCTATTTCATGATAAGCCCAGCGTGTAAAAGATGCTATGAGACCTATAAAGGTGTGCAGGTCCTGACTCCAGCCTACTTGGGGAGGGGGAGCCACCCACCTCATTATGTGCCATGTCGTGTACATACATCGCTTAATTCAATAATCCAGTCCAGCCTTCTGGACCTAAGTTTTCAGAGTCAATACTCTTTCTGCTATATTTGCTCTCTTCCAGGGAGACAGAATTAAAACAGATGAGACATCTTATTTAACATGGCAGATTGGCCATGTTAAAAATGAAGAAATTATAAAATTGAAAAGAAGATCCTAAGTGCTTCCAGGGAAAATTTTTTAAAAAGTCATATACAAGGATCAGAGACTTTCTATTTAGTAAAGAGTGACTCCAGTAAAGGCTGAAATTAATACTCAATTTTGTCATTTTTGTCAAAACTGATGTAGAACTAAGGTTACTTCCCTCATAATGGAGCCCTATGGCCTCACATGCAGTCCATTAAAAGAAAGGACTTCTTGAACCTTTGGCCCCTCTCATCTGTACTTTATATTGTGCCTTACCATAGACAGACTGCCTGGATTTCTGGTATTGTTCCAGTTTCAAGCACTCTTTTTTTTTTTTTTAAGGTTTTTGCCATAGGCCACGTTTGCTTACCAGAAAGACAGAGAGAAACACTGAGAGGGAAAGTAAGAAACCATCCCCCAGGAGGGATGACCACACTGCAGTCCCTTCTTCTCCCTTCTCCTGAGATTTTGGGCATGCACACACACGTGCCTGCTGTAATTTTCAAGCTGCCAGGTCTGGGACTTGAACTCTGATCTGCTATGTACCTTAACCACTACGTCACCTGCTGGACCCTCAAGTACTCTTCTTTGCCACACAATTACATTCCTATTTAAGAGATCAGGGTTCAGAAAGCATTGTCACTGGCAGTTCTGGTCACTGCAGGAGAGAAGGAGAGAATCACACTCCCAGCTCAATTGTGGGCTCCTCAGGAAGTAGTTTTGCTAAAAATGCTCCCTGTGTCTGCCAGATTTTCCCCTAACAGACATTCCAAAAAGTGGGGAGAAAATGAAACGTTTAAGTCAGGATGTATTTCTGCTGCTTCTTAACTTTAAGAATGAACATCAATCAACATGCATTGATAATGTCTTGGCACAAATACCACACAAACAAAAACTGCTGAGCTAATAAAGACTAGCTAATTCTAGCTAATTCCATAATACTTTTTCACTTAAAAATCATTCAATAGCTATTTCTTGGCCATGACTTTGTGCAAGGTACTCACTAGCATATAGAGATAAATATGACATAATTTCTACCACAGAGGCTCATAATTTGGCAGCTTAGATTTCTTTTTTTTTTTTTTTCACTTACTCAACAAATAATAATGAAGCTCCTGTTATGTATCAGGCCTAGTTTCAGGGACTAGAGGTATAGTGGTTTAAAAAAAAAAAAAAAAGACAAAGTCTTTAGGGAGACGGGTAAACAACAGACAAGTTGACAAATGAAAAAAATAACATTTAACTACTGATGAGTACTCTGAGAAAAATAAAAAAGGATAATAGAATGAAGGGGGGGGGCGGGTAGCCACATTAGATAGTGTAGCAGAGAAGATTTCTCTAAAAGGTAGCACTGAATGATGAAAAAGAAGCGGGCATATACTAAGGAGGAGATATTGCTGCCAAGAGTAAAGGTCCCAGGGTAGGAACAAGTTTGCTCTCTTAGCTGATTTGTAGCTTGCATGAGTATAGAGTTACAGATCAAAATAATTTTCATTAGCAACTTTGAAGGTGTGGCACTACTGATTTATAAAACCCAGTGATGCTAGTAAAAAATCTGATGCCAACTTAATTTTCATTTGTTTCGGGTATCTTATGCTTATCCATATGAAAAATTCTAAGGAACTTCTTGAAACTGAAACATTCCTCATCTGGTCCTCCATTTAAAAAAAAGTATTTAGGGACCAGCAGTTAGCGTAATGGCTATGTCACTGGGCTCCCATGTAGTCGACTGCAGTTCAAGTCCCTGACCTAGTGGCTTACACTCACACTTTCTCCCACTCTTGCTCTGTCCCTGGTCAAATTAAAATAAATAAATTAAATTAAATTAAATTATATATTGTTTAAATTCATAAACAAACTGGTTGCTAAATCTGCAGTTTTAAATTTTATTTAAGTTTAAAAAAATCACATGCACGATATAGCAAAAACCTCTCCAAAAAAAAAAGAAAAAAAAATGTATTTCTTGGGCCAGCAGATGGCATAGCAATTGTGTTGCTGAATTCCCACATGGCCTACCGCGATTCACCTACCTACCTGGTGGCTTGAAAATCACTGCAGGCATCTGTGTATGCTTGCCCAAGATCCCAGGAGGAGAATGGAGAAGGGATTACAACATGGGGGGTGATTTCTCACTTTGTCTCTCAATGTCTCTGGCTCTGGCTCCATCAAGCACATGCATTCTAAGGCAAAAAACCTCTCTTAAAAAAAAACGTATTTCTCGAGGACCAGCAGTTAGCGTAATGGCTATGTCACTGGACTCCCATGTAGTCGACCATGGTTCGCATCCCTGACCTGGTGGCTTAAAAGTCACGCATGTGAGTTGGGCGCATGTGCGTGCGTGCCCAAGATCCCGAGAGGAGAATGGAGGAGAAGGGATTGCGGCGTGACCATCCCCCCTGGGGGGTGATTTCTCGCTTTCTGTCTCTCTGTCTCTCTCTGTCTGTCTGGCGAGCACATGCACCCTATAGCGAAAAAACCTCTCCAAAAAAAAAAAAAAAAAGTATTAAAGTATTTCTCAACATGCCAGGTGTATGTGCATGCATACCCAAAGTCCCAACAGGATGGAGAAATGGAGGAAAAGGAATTGTGTCACGACCAAGCGCCAGTGAGGGGGGTGCTTTCTTCTTCTCCTTGTCTGTCTTTAGTAAGCACACATACCCTCTAGCAATAATTTTCTTAGAAAAGTATTTCTTTCATATTTTCAATCTATCTTTTTGTTTTGTGTCTAGGACAATTTTTGACAGTTTTATTTCAGCTCTTTTATTGACTTTTTAATATTAACAATCCCATTTTTACTTTTCAAAATTCATTTCTGTTATTGTTAGATATTTTTCTTCTTTTCTTTTTTCCCCCTTAGGTTTTTTCCATAGGGCACATGCACTCGACAGAGAGAGACGGTGAGAGGGGAAATGAGAAATCAGCCACCCACCCAGACCACATTGCCATCCCTGCTCCTCCATTCTCCTCCTGGGATTTTGGGCATGTGTGCACACATGCCAGCATGATTTTTCAAGCCACCGGGTATAGACGTCATACTGCCATTAGCCATGTGGGAGTTTAGCATCCTAACCACTATGCCACCTGCTGGTCCCTCTTCTTTCCTTTAAAAACAAACAAACAAACAAGCAAACAAAAAACTTATTTTTATTTTATATTTGCAATTGCTCCTTTTCTCTGAGAGTAGTTATAAGAATTCTTTTGAAAGGTCTTTTCTCTTCTAAACTATAAGCTATTTTAGGGTCTTTCTATTTGTTCATCCTCAGCTTTGTTTCTAAGCTACTGGTTTCCCTCTAATACACTTAAAATATAAACAAAAGAATAATTTGACCATTATAGGTTGATAGCTAATGGCCCCACCAACCCCTTGAGTTTCAGATTCTCCTACTTGGTTCTCTGTACCCAGCCAACAAATGAAGGAGAAGTGAGAACAGGAGGATTCACACTTGATATTTTTTTAGGTCTAAGCCTGTAAGTGGCTTAATTGCTTTCACCAACACTGTATTGACCAGAGCACAGTTATGTAATATCGTCTCATTGCAAGGGAACTTGGGAAATGTATTCTGGTTACGTGCTCAGACATTGAAGAAAACAGAATTTGATGAGTACATACATTGCCTCTGCCACAATCCACCCTTCCAATAATCAGCTGTCCATTTCACTTTTCCTCTCTCATATTTGTACATGGAATGCCCTCATCATCTCCTCAAAAATTCCACCGTTTTCTTGAGATGTGGGAGGAGCTCCTTTATTCATTGTTCTCAGTGACTCCTTCACCCCTAGGAATTTTTTCCCCATTCTTTATCTGTCCTGAGTGTATGTTGGGGACTGTGATCTCTTTGGGGACTGCAATTTTCATAACCTTCATCCTGCCGGGTGTTGTTTTAAGACTTCCCAAATACTCGCAGGTGTCTTTAGACCAAGCTCATGGTTACTTTAATACCATTCCTCTAAAATCTACCAGGCTTCTCATCTATTTGCTTTCAACTAATTCCCTATGCCACTAACTTCCCTAATTCTTTCCGTGATGTTCTGTTGCTTTGCTTCCTTGCTCCTCCATGCCTTCTCTCAATTTAATGGCTAGAAAGTTGAGTCTATCTGGAATAACAGTCATGAGTGATAAGATATCACTTTTAATCTTAATTTTGCCTTATGACTGATTCAGTCAAAAAATTGGGGGCTTTGTTTGCTTAAAGTCTCAATCATATCTCTCTACCTGTTTGGCATAGAGAAGTCATAGTCTTTTGCTGCCTCATATTTTTCTGCTTTCTGTCCCTTTTCACTTCTTCTTACATATTAGTCAAGTATTTCCCTGATTTAACTCTTTGTGTCAGAGGCAGCCAACAGTAGACCACACATACTAATATTCTGATACTTTATTTTTTATTAATTTTTGCTATAGGACGTGTGCGCTCAGCAGAAAGAGAGAGACAGAGAGACAGAAAGCGAGAAATCACCCCCCGGGGGGATGGCCATACTGCAATCCCTTCTCCTCCATTCTCCTCTCGGGATCTTGGGCACGCACGCACACACGCCCGGCGTGAGTTTAAGCCACCAGGTCCAGGACTCGAACCACGGTCGACTACATTGGGAGTCCAGCGACATAGCCATTACGCTAACTGCTGGTCCCATATTCTCATATATGAAGCACTTTACTTCAAGCAGCGATTTCAGTAGGCACCTAGTCTACCCCCCAATTTTATCAAATGCTTCACTGTTAACGTGACTGCCATCCTCCCAGGCTTTCGTATCAGTTTTCTTACCACCTACCCCTCAACTACCATGTCAATGCCACACATTTTAAACTTTCATTAAAGCAACACCTCACTTCAATAATGGAGTGATTAAGAGCTTGGGTTCTGTACCTAGATCAAAACCTGTTTTTTCTCCTCAGTAACTAAGTGACTTCAATCAAAATACTTTCCTACTCGTAATATCAAGTTCTTCATCTATTATTAAAAGAGGATTGTTATAAATATTAATTAAGTAATAAATGTAAAATACTTAGGACAGTTCCTAGCACTTAATTAGTGCTTAATACATTTTAGTACTGTTATCTACATTCAAAAGCCAAAGAATCTCTGAACTTTCTTTTCTGTTTGTGTACTTCTGCCTAGAGCCTTTAGACTAGATGGTCTCCCTGCTCTCCCAGGAGAAAGGGATGCTTTGTTGAAATAAAGCTCTAGAGGGTAGAACTAAAGCAGTGAATACCTTGGATAAAATGTTCATTTAATTCTTGTTTTGTTTTGTTTTTATAGATTTTCCTGTTTTTAGTCATCATGTGTTTTGTCCTAGCAACTGGGCATGGCATTTGGGAGAACAAGAAAGGCTACCACTTCCAGATTTTTATGCCAAGGGAAAAATATATCTCTTCATCTGCTGTCTCTTCCTTCCTCATATTCTGGTCCTATATCATTATTCTCAACACCATGGTGCCCATTTCCCTCTATGTCAGGTAGGCATTTTGATCACTTTGGGTTCAAGGGAAGAGATAACTTCAAACTTCCTGCGTGAGCCCCCAAGTAGAATGTGGAGTTTTAGAAAGCATACACATTCACGGTATGTTTTTTTGACCCTTTACTTTCCATGGTGCCTAGTTCAAAAAAATGCTCTGAGAAATATCTAGCGATTGCATAAATGCCTTCCATGTCTAGAATACCATGCTAGATACTATATGGTTTATATAAAAAGAAAATTATTCCTGCCCTCAAATGATTTATATATCAAGTAAGACATACAAACACATTTAAAAATAAATTAAAACACACACACATAAATATGATGATGCTAAAGCACAGGCCAGGCTACTTCCAGTTCACCGAAGAGATAGGTTCCACACATTCACTGTACAGAACCCATTTTCTGACTGGAACAATGTGGCAAATGGTAGCTCAGTGTAATTGTAACCTAAGTTAAACTCCTAAAAGTTGGGGGAAACAAGAGAAAAAAATGTTTCCTCCTCTGTTTCATTAGCATTTTGGACAAAAGTTTTAAATAAGTGAAATAAGTTTTTACCATGCCGTGACCTACCTTTTCTAGGTTTTGCATTCCCTCACACATCCACCCACCCACATACATTTCAGTTTCTTTCTTTCCAGGTTTTCTAGCCCCTAAACTATGGAATCCTAATCCCCAAAACACCATATATAACTAAATTAGCTACCTACCAATGGAAGCTTTATAGGATAAAAACATGAATAATAAGACAGATCTTCCCCTAGAGATATGACAATGTAGCTATGGAAACAAATACTTAAATAAAGAGTTATGGCACAGTATGGAAAGTGATAATAATAGAAATACATAGGTGGCTAGCCCATGGTGTGATGGTTAAGACAGCTGGATCCCATGTGGCTGGCTGTGTGGTTTGAGTCTTGGACCCAGTCACTTGAGAAATATGCCAGGCGCATTTGCATGCATGCCCAAAATCCCAAAAGGAGGGAGAAATGGAGAAGGGATTGGAGCACAACCATTCCTCCATGGAGGATGCTTTCTCACTTTTCCTCTGACTCTGTCTGGTGAGTACTCAACCCTCAGGCAAAAAAAAAAAAAAAGAAGAAAAGAAAAAAATGGAAGAATGAGGGAGAAATACATATGAGTACTATAGAAACCTTGAGAAGGAATGGAATAATTCTCCCTGGGCAAACTTTGGAAGGTTTACAGAAATGGTAATATCAAACCGACACTTTAAGAAAGAGTAGGATTCACCAACAAAATATAGGGCAAGAATTTGGTAAGCAAAAAGCTCATCATGTCCAGAGGTTTGCAGGTTTTTAAAATGTTGGTCTGTTCATAGAACAGTGAGTAACTAAAGTGTTGAATGGTAATTTAGAGTCAGATCCAGAAGAGCCTTAAATTCCAGGCCAAAGAGTAAATTATATCCTAAAAGCAGTAAATATCCAACAAAGATTTTCCTAAGGAAAGAAGTAATGTGATTAAATGTTTGGGTTTACAGAAACTGCCATGACAGGTATGGTGAAAGGTGGTAGGAGTCAAGACCGCAGGCATGAGGATTATCAGTAAAGAGTCAGTGATGAGGACCTGAGCACCTCTTCCTTCACCTCAAAGATAGAAATATGCTCTCAACGCAGCTTCTCAGGAAAGCTACTAATAAAGCAGCCTAACACACATAAGTATGACTGGAGATAAAAGTTGTTGCTGTTTCAAAATGAAAATGCTCAATGGCCCACCTTCAGTAGTGCACACAGGTTGACACTGCTTTTTAGAAGGCTGGAGTTACATGGAGGCCCAGGCTTGATTCCCAGCCCACCCTTAAAAAATAGCTGTGGTGCATCCCTGTAGTCCCACCTACTCAGAAGGCTGAGGCAGTAAAATCACAGCATGGCAAGACTCTGTTTAAAAAAAATAGTAATAACTATTAGTAATAACTAATAGTAACAATAGCCATAAAGAATCTATAATGCATTAATGCATGTTATTTGGAGCAGAGGAAGAGTGTGACAAAGGCAACAGGGGAAAAGGAGAGAAGACAGTTGTGGGGAGGAGGCCAATTACAGACAACCTGACTCTTGGAAATTTATCTAGGGTCAGCCTATAAATGATTTCATATTTTCACAGTTTCTTCCTTTCTTTTGAATCAAAGAAACTCTGAGTAGAGTTTCTTTTTATCCCCATGACAATAGCAATAATCCTCTACTTAGGCCAGCATAACCTTTTAAAAGTTAAGAGTCCATTAGAACTTGCAATAGAGGTTAGAAAATAGTGACTTTTCCTGGACATATTTTGGAAGAAGAAAAAGTGAAAGGAGGGTATGACTCAGAGAAGTTAATCAGGTACATCTGGCTCCAAATGCCTTGAGGGATAATGGTTGAAGTCAGAGTTACTTGGGTTGGCTGATGGGAAAAGCCCTTCAGGAGGATAGGTTCCCAAGGAAGATATTCTGATTTTTAGATATTGGTCTTGACCTACAATTGGACTGGTAAAAAGGAAACAAGAATGATGTATTTGCTTGCCCTATTCTAACCCAAGACCCTTCATTTCATGCTTTCTCCTTAGTGTTGAAATAATAAGATTGGGCAATAGTTTCTATATTAACTGGGATCAGAAGATGTTTTATGCGCCAAAAAATACACCAGCACAGGCTCGCACCACCACCCTTAATGAGGAACTTGGCCAGGTCAAATATGTGTTCTCTGACAAAACAGGGACGCTGACCCAGAACATCATGATTTTCAACAAATGTTCTATCAACGGGACGCTCTATGGTATGCCTATCTTCCTGGGGAAATTCTCCTTTGCAGGTTTTTTTTCAAAAATAGTCTATCTCAATGTTCAGTGAGTGAATATAAAATAAATAAGTTTAAATTTTTTTCAAAAAAGAATAATCTATCCCTAAATCTATAAGCCTCTGAAATTCATATTTATCTCCTATTCTCACAACCTTCTCTATTCATTCAGCAAGGAACGCTCAGCCCAGTCAGTTCCAAGAAAGCATTTATTTAGCACCTGAGAGATGCAATCAATTGTATTGGGCATTGAAAATACAAAAAGATGTACAAGATTTAGTCCCTGTCCTCAAGGAGTTCCCAATGTCTTGAGGAAAACAATATATTCGATTCACTCTCATATTAAATCTCATGGATTTCAGTCAAAGGGTATAAAGTTTCTGTTAGTCAGGAAGAGTAAGTTTTTTGAAATCTATTGTCTTCATGGTGATTATAATTAAAATAACATATATTTCAAAATCACCAAAAGTAGATTTTAAATGTTCCCACTACAAAGAATATGTATGTGAAGTGACAGATGATTCAATCATTCCATAATACATAGGAAAATATCACCTTGTACCATAGTTACTGTCAACTTAAAATAAAAATGAACTTCAAAAAATTAGATCAGTTAGTGTATTACTGAAGCTTCTAATCTTCCTGTTCCCTTTAGACCAATAAACCGTGTTGAGAGATGGTTAGTTAGAGTTTGATTGGTGTTTCCCAGGTCCAGTCCCTTGTTTATCTTATCTCTTAAGCATAAGCTTATTTTTGTGATAGAGTTAAGCCCTGATGTGTGTGAACGTTCATGACCAGTGCCCTAGCTAGAAGAGGAAGTGATGACATCCAAAAAGCTAGAGCACATGGGGATGTTCTTCTGGGATGATAAAAAAAAAAAGTTTCAAGCTAGAGAGAGGTAGTAGTTGTGGAACATTATGAATGCAATAAATGCCCCTAAATTACAGTTTAAAATGATAGGTGTATGTTTTATGAATTTCAATTTTAAAAAAACCTTAAAAGTTGTAACTGAAAATAAAGCTTGAGCCTCTAATATTTCCTCTTACCTCTACCAAACAAGTTTTCACATGTATATACTCTGAAGGCTTAATTTTGGATGAGTTGATCTGGGCAAGGATCTTAATTTTCTGGCTCATTGCACAACCCAAAGATTCACTGGGTAAGGTTGAAAAGGGTCATGGGTGTTTCTGTGCTTGGCAATGGAACTGCCTTCAACCTGCATTTTGTCTATACTGTCCACTGGTCAAAGATCCTAAACACTCTACAACTATTTTCACACCTCTTCTAAGTAAGTTTTCTGATTGGAGAACTTTCTGAGGTAGGCAGTCTCTCATTGATCCAGTGACTAACCTCTAGCCTCACCTTATTCTCATTTACGGGAGAAGAGTTGGGGCCCAAGCAGATGACCTCTTCTTACCATTGACCTAGGAAAAGAAGCTTAAGGGGACATTGAGGATGAGATGTCCTGAGGGGCTTTGAGGTAGCTTGACTACAAGTCTGGGAGGAAGGACCTAGAAGAAATAAGCTTTTTAAACTCTCCTTTAAATCACCATAATATTCAGTAATTCCATTACTAGGTATATAGTCCCAAAAATTGAAAACAAGGACTCAAGCAGATGTATGTTAGTATTCCTTTCAGAATGATTTGCAGTAGCCCAAAGATGGAGATAACCAGTGTGTCTGTCAACAGATGAGAGGGTAAACAAATTGTGGCATGTATTAGGTCATCAGAAAGATCAGGACTATGTTTCTGTGTTCTTCTATGCAAAAATGGATCATGACTTTCCCGAAGACACAGTACATATAAGGAAACTTCAAAAAGTGCACGGAAAATGCAGTTCATTTGGGTACAAAAAAAGCTGAAATCTATACAAATTTTTTTAATAACAGACATTTTCCATGAACTTTTTGAAGACCCTCCCCCTTAAAGGAATATTGTCAGACATGAAAAGTAATGAGGTTTGGTGTGAAGTTTGCCACTCCTCACTTAAACTTAAAAACCTACCTATTTAACGACCACTTGTACTTACAGAATACCCTTCTTCAGTCTTTATCTTGTTCCCACAGTCGGTTAGTATTCACTACAGAAAGCATTCACAATCAGGCAAGACTACATATTTCATTTATAAATTTGTATTTTAATGTGCACCCGTAGTAATACTCAGAATAAATAAAAATGATGATGCCAGATTTATACTATTATGTTGCGATGTGTCCTGTTGCTTTTTGGCGCTTATCTAATGTATGCTTCTTGTATGGATAAAATTACATTATTCTAGTGTGGTATCACATGACAGCTGTTGACAAACACATATCCTATGGCTCTACGACACACCACAAGATCCCCTTTACGCTCCTCATGTATTGACCAATTCGCCTAATGACCTAGTTGTAGGAACGGAATGTGGTCAGTAAGTGAGGACTGCCTGTATTACAACATGAACAAGCCCTGAAGTTATTCTAAGTGAAATAAGCCAGACAGAAGACAAATGTCTCATGATTCTACTTATGTGAAATATCTAGAACAGGCAAATTCATAGAGACAGAAAACATCTGTCATTGGAAAGGTCATGATGTAGTTTTCTGGTTTTCTATGCAAAAATGTGTCTGACTGTCTGACAACCCAATAGGTTAGAGGTTACTGGGGCTATGAGTGGAGAGAATGGGAAGTTTCTGTTTGAGATACTGAAAAGTGTTGGAAATATATACTGATGTTTGTTGTACAACATTGTAAATATAACTAATGTCATTTAATTTTACACTTAAAAATGGTTAAAATGAAAACTTTTATGTCATACATAGTTTATCACAATAAAAGAAATTGTAACCCTCATTTAAAACATTTGCCAAGTCTCTGCTCTGTTTACCTACCAACAGGTGCTAGCTGTAACAAGGATGAAAAGAAGGTAACAGTCTCTGAAGTGAGTGTTCTCTGCTTCCTGAGAAATGCACATGGAAGCTGAGTGAGGCCATGCTGCAGAGAAGCATCTTTAACACAAAGTGGGAGTCCCTTTGCCCCAGAACTATTAAAACTTTTACCAGCCCCATAATATTAGACCCATTATATAAATTACCTATGTTTATTCGAGAGAATTTTATAAGTGAAAACAGCTTAATTGCCATTTTTCTCTTTAAAATGGAATCTGTGCTCTGGCCAGCTCCATGCGGTAGTGGTTAAAGGAGCCGGATTCTACATGACTGACCATGCAGTTTGAATCTCAGCCCCAGCAGCATGAAAAACACACTGGACACATGTGCATGCATGCCCAAAGTCCATAACAGAGTCCCTTCTCTTTCATTCTCCTTTTGGGATTTTTGGTACTCACACACATGTGCCTAGCATAGTTTTCAAGCTGCCAGGTCTGGAGCTCAAACCTCGCAGTTGGGCATTTGGGACCCTGCTACATAAATCACCACACCACTGACTGGCCCTCTTAAGTAAGTTTTTTTCTGTGTAGAAGTTTTGAACTGTATAATCAAATCTACCAATCTTTTTCCTTTACCTCAGGATTTGTGACGTACTCAAAAGTTCATACTCAAACGATTATAAAAATATCTTCCTATTAATTCTTCTTACTTCTAGCTGGTTCATTTACTGTTTTCTCTAGTACTCATCCTCAGCATTTGTCTCTCTTTTTTTTTTGGGGGGGGGGGGGTCTAATGGGGGCCTTAGGCGACGACAGAGAGAGAGAGAGACAGAAAGCGAGAAATCAACCCCCCAAGGGGGATGACCACACCGCAATCCCTTCTCCTCTATTCTCCTCTCGGGATCTTGGGCATGCACACATACACACCTGGCGTGAATTTAAATTGCTGGGTCCAGGACTCAAACAGCTGTCAACTACATGGGAGTCCAGCGACAGAGCCATTATGCTAACTGCTGGTTCCTCTCTGTCTCTCTCTGTCTTTCTGGCGAGCACACGTGCCCTATAGCAAAAACCTCTAAAACAAAACAAACAAACAAAAACAAAACAAAAAAAAGCCTCTCTTGTCTCTGGGCTTCTGTTAAATGACAATTCTCTTCTTCTTTCTTCCTGTCTGATTGCTTCTTCTCATCACCTGGCCTTAGGTGCTGATTTTCACCAGAACTCAATTTTTTTTTTTTTAAGATTTTTGCTATAGGGTGCGCATGCTCTCCAGAGAGGCAGAGAGAGAGAGAAAGTGAGAAATCACCACCAAAGGGGATGGCCATGCCGCAATCCCTTCTCCTCCATTCTTCTCTCAGGGTTTCGGGCATACATGCCCAGTGTGAGTTTCAAGCTGCCGGGTATGGAACTCAAACCATGTTCAACTATGTAAGAGTCCCGCACCTCAACCACTACACCACCTGCTGACCCCTTTCCCTAGAACTCTATTATTGAACCTCTTTTTCATCTGTATAGCCTCCCCAGATATTCTTGTGGCTTTGATTATTACCTACTTACTAATTATTTCCCGATCCCTATATCCAAAAAATCTTTGTTAGCTTCCTCCCATTCAAGGCCAAGGCTAAAGACACCCTATAAAACATTTCATAGCTGCGTCACAGCAATTCTACCCCCATTCTGAATGCGGTTCTCATTTAACATTATCAGTTTCCATCCTCTGTCCAGTGCTCAAATTTGCCTTTTTGGACCTCCAATTTTCAGATTTACTCATAATGCTGACTCTAGGTCAAGCTGCACTGCAGCTCCAAGCCAACTCTGCCTCCATCCCTGCACCCTGCCAGATCCAGTGTTCTCAAATATTACTTATCTGGAAGGAGGAGATTAGAAACTAGCTCAGATTTCTCTCTTGAGCTTTAAGAGTACACAAAGGGACTTTGAAAAGTCTATGGAAAAATGGAATTAAAGTACGAGTTTAGGTGCAAAGTTTTTTGAAATCTGTGCATGTTCATAACATGTATTTTGAAATCTGTGCATGTTCATAACATGTATTTTCTGTGAACTTTTTGAAGACCCTGTGTCTCTACAGCTGCCTTCTTTCATTACTACCTGTATGTCCTTCAGATCTCTCCAATCCAGTCTTTCAAAAACCTTCTATCTCAGTATGCGGTTTGTCTCTCCCACTTAGGAAATATAAATTTATTCCTAATTTTCGTCCCTCTTTTAGTCCTTGTATCCATGTCCTATAATTCTAGTTCCCTATATTTCAAACCCACCCGCTTAATTTAATATGTAGTGTGACTACTTTTATGATTTTTCTTGTGAATCACTGAATGGCCCCCTAACTGGTCTCCCTGCTTTTCATCTTGCTATTTCCAATATGTTCTTCATGTTGCTACCAGAGGATTTTCTCTGATACGAATCTAATCGTGTCACTTCCAGTGGAACATTGCCATGACATACGATGGTGAATAAGATGGTAATGCAGGATCTGGCTCATTCCTACTTCTCCAACCTTAGCTCTCCGCACTCACCAGCCTCCAGTTTCAAATAATGTTGCCAGTATAAGAGCCCAATTCTAGAAAAGCCTCAGGGAATGCTGTATAATAAGTTATCTTAAATTACTGAATCCTTAAACTTCCCACAACTATTAAGTCTGTGATTGGCCACATCTAGGGCTTTGCCCTGGACCTGATTATACTCCCTCGCTGCTCTGACAAAACTCCCTCTAAATGAAAGATTGAAAAGAGCTGATACAACTCATTATAAGCTTCCCTTTCCGCAGCATAGCATGAGACAGGATAGTTGTGTCTATACTTCACATATTGGGGCTCAATCCACATAGTTCCACAACTGCAAAGACCTGGAGAAAAATCCTAGAGAGAGTTGATTATAGACTGGATAAATGTATTCATAACATCGTACTCTCAAGGTCAAGCTGAACCAGGAAAAGAATGTAACCAAGGTGGCTACAAGCAGCCTAGTTGAAATGGAAAGTGAAAGTCTGTCTAAAGGAGTCAAGGTCATAGCCAGGAAAATAGCAAATATTAGGAAAAAAGAGTGGGGCAAGGACTAAAATAGAAACATACACAGCAAGGTCAGTGACCGTGAGCATTGGAGGCAGACTCAGGTAGCTTCACAGGTCAAGCAAAATTATGTCTATGAATAACAAGCACATACTGAAACTTCCTCACCATGTAGTCTTGCCTCCGTCTTGCAAGATTTCTCTCTAACCACCTTTAACTCCTGTGAGGCTAGAGAGTACAACACATAATAGCACTGTATGTGGGACCCTGTTCCCTTCTCAGCTCCAAAAGCGGGTGGAGGACAACTAGGAACAAGACTTTTTCCAGATACCACCTACTCCACCTACTAATAGGGAAGAGTTGCACCTGATAGCCTCTGGTTTGATTACCATGAACTTGATATTTACAAGAGTAGAGTTTGAAGATGGCCATTAATTGTTCACAACAACTGGGGTGGAAAGAGGACCAGAAGGATTTGCCAAGCATCTGAGAAAGGTCTGCTCAACTCGTCTCCCATAGGACAGTTTTTTCTGGCCTGAGTGATGGACAGTCCAGGTCAGAGCTTCAAGGGCCTTAGAAATCAGCACAGGGTCTTCTCTGTCTTGCTCTTCTCTTCCCATCCTCCTGAGAACGACCATATTCCAGAAATTGCCATAAACTGACCACCTAAAGTGTCAAGCTGCTGCTGAGAAGTTTGTTCTGGCTTATGTGTTCCAGAGAAAGGTTGACTTCTCCTACAACAAACTGGCTGATCCTCAGTTTTTATTTTATGACAAGACTTTGGTGGAAGCAGTGAAAAAAGGAGATCACTGGGTACACTTGTTTTTCCTGTCACTTTCATTGTGTCATACCGTGATGTCAGAAGAGAAAGAGGAAGGTGAGGAGAGGCCTGAGGCCTCATGGAATGAAAATGGGACACAGAGTCTAAGCTCTTGGTGGTGGTAGGGGGGGCTGGATATGATTTGAATGATTTAATCTAAGAACTTTCTAGGGACCAGCAGATGGAGTTAATGGTTATGTCGCTGGACTCCTACACAGTCAACTGTGGGTTGAATCTCAGACCCAGCAGCTTAAAAATCACACCAGGTGCATGTGCTTGCATGCGCAAAATCCTGAAAGGAGAATGGAGGCAAAGGGATTGGTGGTCATCCTCCCCTCCCCCCCCACCGGGGGGTGATTTCTCTCTCTCAAAATAAAAAAAGTACTTCCTAATAGGTAGCATTGTCCAACAGTGAAATGGAGAGCAAAAATTAGTAGTGAGCTGCCAGTCACTGGAGATATTCAAGTAGAAAACAACTTCTTGGTTTGAAAGATTTGGTCATTGAATAGAGGTCAAACTTGGTACAATCTAGGAAGCTTTTGTTCTTTAGATTCTCTGATGTTTTGTCACAGAGTCCATCTGAATTGTCCTCAAAGTCAGTCCCACTATCTCTGAGAAGACTTCCTAAAGGATGAGTTAAGTTATTCTCTTGTCACTTCACATTTTAAAGGTTTCCACAATACCGGTTTCTTTAATAACCAAATATGGTATATTCACCAATCTAGCGAAAACTTCTTAGAAACTGAGAAATGAACAATTATAAAAGGCTTTTTTCTTTACAAACAAGAATTTAGAAAAACGAATCATATTCTTTAAAGCCAATGTGCTCTTAATACTATTAATGTCAGTAGTAACACCTTACATTTTGTACATCACTTTACAGTTTTATAAAGTGCTTTCATCTGTTATTATGTCTTATAATCTTCCCAACAGCCCTCTGAGGTAGGCAAAACAAGAAAAATGGCACCAACTTTATAGAGAAGGAAACTGTAGCTTAAGAAGATTAAGTTACTTTCCTAAAGACCTATTTAAGAAGGCCAAAGATAAGAATTTAATCCCACTTCTTTTGGCCCAGTGAGCTCCCATTCCATCCCGTACCTCTCTGGGCCTGCCATCCCAGCAAGCTGCTATTATTTGAATTATATTTGACCTCATCTTTATTTACTGTCTTGAGTGACAGGGTAGGAAACCCCCAAGTAAAGTCTCAATTGTCCAGTAGATACATCTTGTGTCTGATCTAAAATTATGCTCCCCTCCTCTTATTCATAAGCATAAGACTCCAATGATGCATAACTGTTTTAAAAATTAAATTGACCTGCAGAAGATAAATGATACAAAATAAACCTCAGGTTGTGATACTAGTCTAAAAGAGGAATCCCAGAAATCCCCTGAGTTTTAAAAAACTGATTCAATAGAGTGAATTTTTTAGCTTCTAAGGGTGCATTTCAAAGGTGACAACACTCATATATTTTTTTAAATTATTTACTAATCCATCAATCTTATTATCTTATAGCAGTGTTTAGCAAAGTGTGCCCCACCTTACACAGGACCACCTGATGAAAAACACCCAGGAAACTCGTTTGAAATTTAATTTCCCAGACTCTCTTCCCAGGTTTCGTGGTTCTGGTTTCAGTAAGTTTTGGCTGGGCCCTGGAGCCTGCGTTTTGAACAAGCTCTCTGAGCCATCTTTACTCATTAAAGTTGGGAAATAGCTGCCTATGTTTTGTTTGTGTGTATACATTCCATGTCCCACGTATGTCTGAATACTGACTCAGGGCTGAGTTGAAAATCTTAGGAAGGAAAAGAAGACTGACATGCTCTACGCAACCTGGCCTTTTAGGGCCACACTTACAAGGAAGTTTTGAAGAAAGATGTTCCTTCTTGAGCTTTAACTTTACTAAGTCACTTGGAAGACAGTGTTCCTTCTGGGTGGACTTCAGCTGCTTATCTTTGTAGGCTCTAGTTTTCTCCTTTTCTCCTATCAGGTAAGCTGGTATACCAGGCGCAGTCTCCAGATGAAGGTGCCCTGGTCACTGCTGCCAGGAACTTTGGCTTCGTGTTCCGTTCCCGCACATCTGAGACGATCACGGTGGTCAAAATGGGGGAAACCAAAGTCTATCGACTGCTGGCTATTTTGGACTTCAACAGTGTGCGCAAGAGGATGTCTGTTATTGGTGGGTCCCCTTCTTTGTCCTTCATACACATTCACACTTTTTTTCCTATCAGAAATGCTTTCTCCCACTTACCTGCCTTCTCACAGGTGCTGTACCTCAATACAAACACACAGCCATCCCCACTTTCTCTTACACACAGCCTTTACGTTTTTTCTTATACACATATGGGGACTTGTTACCATATGCTAAATCCCTTCCCTTCTTGTCAGCACCCTCAGAACCAAGGAGATTAAGTTACTTTTCTAAAGATGTATTTAAGAAGGCCAAAGAAAAGAACTGAAATCCCACGTCTTTTGGCCCAGTGAGCTCCCACCCCACCCCATATTTCTCTGGGTCTGCCATCCCAACAAGCTGCTATTATGCGAATCATACTTGACCTCATCTTTATTTACTCTTGAGTGACAGGATAGGAAACACCTACCCACCTAAACAGTCTTGGACAGAAAATAAATTCATCAAACCTGGAAGTGGAATAAGAGATGGGAGCAGACAATATGATGGAGATTCATAGTGTACTGTTCTCCCAACTAGCTTGAACCTCAGTCTTTAAAGGAAGGTCATTTTTTATCCTTACAAGGGCCTTGGTCTCAGATTGCAAACTGGGAACTAAATGGGGTTCTGCATCAGTCTTCTACAGGTGACATTGAACCCATGAAAGAACTGGTTCTGTAAGTTCCTCTCTCATTCTTGTGGCCTTCACCTTCTCATTTATCCTATGCGATCACTCATTCGGTGCTTATGATCCAAATGTGTCAGAAACAAATGTCAAGAGAAACAGCCTCCTGTCATCCCTCAGTGGCCCATAGGAGTTCTTGTAACAATAGGCCTACGTGGTTACTTTGCTTAATTTGTTTAACTTTAGTGCGGACACCTGAAGATCAGGTAATGTTGTTCTGCAAAGGTGCCGACACCATCATCTGTGAACTGCTTCATCCATCCTGTAGATCCCTCAATGAAGTTACCATGGAACATCTAGATGTAAGTGTTTAGGCTGCAGGAAAAGAAAGCTGTGGGTGTTCTCTGTATCTGCATATGTGTCACATACATGTTCCCATATCGGTATGTTTCTGTATAGGTGTAAACTGGTGTCTGTGTCTCTTTAATTGGTGGAAAAATAAAACTATCTCACTCTGGGATTCTCACCAACCACATTGCCAACTTCTCTGTCTGTCTGTCTGTCTCTCTCTCTCTCTCTCTCTGCCTCTCCCTGGTCAAATTAAAAAATAATAATAAATAATATTTTAAAAAGATGTTAAAACATGCTGCTAAATTATTTGTTGACTAAATTAATGAGCTATTAGTGTATTGTTAAGCTTTCCAAGTGTATTGGTAAGCTTGCCAAGTCCATCGATATCTCATGCAATAGGGCCAGCAGTTAGCATAATGGTTATGTCGCTGGACTCCCACGTAGTCATCCGCGGTTCAAGTCCCAGACCCGGTGGCTTAAACTCACACCGGGTGCGTGTGCGTGCGTGCCCAAGATCCCAAGAGGAGAATAGAGGAGAAGGGATTGTGGCGTGGCCATCCCCCCTGGGGGGTGGTGATTTCTCACTTTCTGTCTCTCTGTCTCCCTCTTTCTGGCGAGTGCACACGCCCTATAGCGAAAACCTCTCCAAAAACAAAAAAATATATATCTCATGCAAAATCAATTTCTGCCACTATCACTTCTTTTTTTCTTCTTAAAATTTAAAAATTCTTTTCTTTTTTATTTATTTCCAGAGGGTGTGTGTACTCACCAGAGTGAAAGAGAGAGAGGGAAAGTAAGAAAGCAAGTCACCAGGTCTGGGACTCAAACCACAGCCCAATGGGTGTGGTCACACTGTGATCCTTTCTCATCCACTTCTCCATCGTGTCAAGATTTGGGCATGTGCACACACGTGTCGAGCATGTTTTTAGGCCATGAGGGCCAGGAGTCAAACTGCGGCCAGTCATGTGGCATCCTGCTCCCAATGCATAGGCCTTAACATGTAAACTATGGGACCAGCCCTGTTAAATTTATATTTTATTAATGTATAATAGTTGTACGTATTTGTGGAGTACAATGCGATTTTTCAGTATACTTTCTTCTTAGGAAATCTTAGGTTTTCTCTGGACCTCCTTGAACTGCTAACATTACAGAAGTTTTAGAGATGGCAAATCCTATACTTTTTGTTGTTGTTTTGGAGAGGTTTTTGCTATAGGACGCATGTGCTCACCAGAAAGACAGAGAGAGACAGAGAAACAGAAAGCAAGAAATCACCCCTAGGAGGGGTGGCCACACCACAGTCCCTTCTCCTCCATTCTCCTCTCGGGATCCTGGGCACACACACACGCACCTGGCATGAGTTTAAGCCACCGGGTCTGGGACTTGAACCGCAGTCAACTACATGGGAGTCCAGCAACATAACCATTATGCTAACTGCTGGTCCCGGCAAATCCTATACTTTATTGCCTTATATTAATTTTACCTGATAGTTAACAACAGACAACTAGGACTTACACAGGGAACTAAGAGCAAATTCTCTTTCTCTTTGTTCTTATAGTGCTAATGTGTATTATTTTGCAGCTTACTATAATAGTGATCATGTAGAATTGTTGTTCATGTGCAGCTCTTAATACACAAAATCTATTTCTAACCTACCCTTAGATGGTTATGAGTAATCCCCTAAACCACCCACACTCTCACCCAGCCCTCCTTCTGACCCAGGGGTGTATTCCTACAAGAAGGCTAGTTAGTGCTAGTTAAAACATATTGATAACTAAGGAGCAAAAGATGCTAAACTCACCCAGAGGGTATTTCAGTAGTGGCTTCATTAATTTATCTAGCTATGGCTAATCAACTGAGCTATAGAAAATACACAAGTATGCACAAGTTTGTGCTGTGTAAGATGCTCATTGAATGTTTGATGATGGAAGGAAAGGAAATTTTAAATGAATCTAAGCTTTTAAAAAACTATAATACCTTTGATTATTTTTATTATAGTTCCTTTATTCTATTTCATTCTCATAGTCATCATTGTCCTTTCTGTAAGGAATGAATCCCAATTTTACAAAAACAAAATCTAGAAAACTTGGTTAGTCATGTAGCAAATTATCTAACTATAGCTAAAAGCAAGAACTTTCTATTTCTCAGAAGGACTCCCAACCTTCCAGCTATGCCGGCCCTGTGCTTGAGGCATTCGGCTGGGAAAGTTCCTCAACTGCTTTCTCCTTAGGCTAGATACTAGTCCCTATTTTGCAGGTAGATGGGGCCTTTGTGGACAGTTGCCACTCCCTTAACTCAGCCTTAACCCAGCCTAGCCCATGTGGTACACACATGTCTTCCAGGATTTTGCTTCTGAAGGCCTTCGCACTCTCATGGTGGCCTATCGAGAGCTGGATGATGGATTCTTTCGGGCCTGGAGCAAGAAACACAGTGAAGCCTGTCTATCTGTGGAGAATCGGGAAGATAAATTATCAGATGTCTATGAAGAGATCGAAAAAGACTTGATGGTTAGTGTGAAGAAGCCAGGGACGGACTAGGGGTAGGGATGGGGTTGGCAGGCAGCAGACTGAACAAGGAATCTGAGTGGCTTCCACATGATCAACAGATGCAAATTCTCTGAGAGAGAGGACAGGCAGGCTCAGTAAGAAAGCACCAAATCTTTGTTCCAGAGAGTCTGGATTCTGGAATCCACAGATTCAGTGTATTCTAGGTCTTCTGAATGCATAATGAAAAAATGTGCTGGTTTTCATTTTTATCTTTCTGGTAGGGTTTCTTATTCCAAAGTTGTTCACTGAAGTTAAGTGACCTGAGAGAAATCAAGATCTGATAATGCACAGATTAGACAATGCAGAACTAGTTAGTAAATGATCCAAATAAAAATGATCACTCGTTCATCAACATTTTTATTTATTAAGTGTCCGTGCCAGCCAATGTTTTAAACCCTGGTCACATAGCAGTAGACGAAACAGACAAAAAGTAATGTTAGATGGTAAAAGTGCTGCGGGGAAAGACAAAATAAAGCCAGGAAGAGAGGGAATGTCTGTATGTGCCCGTGTGTTTGGGAAAGGACAGGGGCATTACTGCTATTTTAAATAGGGTGGTTAGTCTTCACTGTGAAGAAGACATCTGAGAAAAGATCTGGAAGAAGATAGCAAGCCAAGAGATCTCTGAGGGGTTGGGCTTCCAGACAGAAGGGATGGCAAGAGAAAAGACTGAAACAGCAGCAGGCCTGCCCTATTAGTTGAACAGCAAGGCTGCCAACAAGCCTGGAACAGTGCGAATGAGGAAGAAAGAATAAAAGGACATGAGACAAATAAGAGAAAGTCTTCATAGGCCAGTATAAGGATTTATGGTGAGAATAATGGAAAAATCACTAAAGAATTCACTCACAAAAGTGAATGTGATAGCTTTTAAAATGATCACTCTGGCTTCTGTGTTACAATTATACAGTAAGGGAGCAAGGGAAGACAAGTTAGAAGGTAGTTGCTATAATAGGTTGAGAGATGATGATTTAGATAAAAGTAGTGAAAATGGTGAGAAATGGTCAAATTCTGTACTTTTTTTAGGGTAGAGTCAATAGAACGTGCTGATGGATTAGATTATAGGACATGAGAAAAAGAGATGTTAACCTCAAAGTCTCTGACCAGACCAATAGGGACTGGCTCTGCTATAAAAAGAAATTAATGATACTAAATGTGAAAATTCAGAGATTCCAGATCTTACATCCTCGGTTCCATTGTAGTATTTCTAGACTGTCTAGAAGCCTAGGAGAAATTAGTCAGTAGTTAGTCCACCTCTCAGCTCCTCAGATTCAGTCCTGGGACCCGTCCTTGTGGTCAGCACTGTTGGAGTATTATAGGGAGAAGGCATAGTGCTGGACTAAGGTTTTGTAAAGTCCAGCATGGGAAATGGTCTTGAAAGCCTTGAGGATCCCAGTGGGTACAAACAAATGAAGTATCCCCAAGCTCACAGAGGGCTGAAGGAAAAACTGGAGTCCACTGGAGTGGGATATGGAGATCCCTTGTCTATGAACCACTTTAGAGCCAGGAAGTATTGTGTGAAACAAAAGAAAACTGAAGGTATGTTGAGAAACAGAAATGGTTGAGAAGTGGCACATAGCTTCATGTGTGACTTGGGTAAATCTCTTCCCTCTCTGGTCTCTAGTATTCTGTTTCTAAATTTGATTTCAGTGTATGTGTGTCAAGAGGTATAATGTGCTGAGTTTTATACCACTGGGATCTTCATCCCAGGACCAAGCCAGCTTACTAAAGAGAATGCTGAGATGCCAGTTCTGTTGTTGATAACCCATGAGGCTAACAGCAGACCTCTCATCAGAAATAATGCAAACGAGGAAAGAGAAAATATATTCAGTGTTAAGGGAATAGAAATTTCAACCAAGAGAATGCTGAGATGCCAGTTCTGTTGTTGGGTAGCTCTAAATGCTGCATCTTTCTCCCTTTTCCTCACTCACCAATATCTCTGTTCGAAGCTGCTAGGGGCCACAGCCATAGAAGACAAGCTGCAAGATGGAGTACCTGAGACAATCATCACTCTGAACAAAGCAAAAATCAAAATATGGGTTTTAACTGGAGATAAGCAAGGTAAATGGAACTCCTAGCCTGACTGATATTCCCTTAGCCATTTCTCTTCTTTTTTCTTTTCTTCTTAGCCATTTTCTGGACAAATACCTTGTATTCATAATTCAGATCAAGCCTTACAGGATACCTTCATGCCTGGTCTTATACACAACTTGCTGAGCATGGACTTCATGCCAGATACTGTATTAGGTGCTGAAGATGAAGAGATAAATTAAGTTAATCAGACATGATTCCTGTCATCCAGGAACTCAGAGGCTAAAAATGTCAAAGCTGTCTTTTTTTTTTTTTT